TGTTGCACAGCAACTCCCATGGTACAGGATTATAGAGTGTGATTCAGAGGTTTGGCAAAGCTTGTGAGACTCTCTTGAGCTTTAGCCTCATAATTAACTGCTGCTTAAAACAATTACAATACATTATTTATTTATTAGGCACATTTAAAAACAACCAAGGCTGACCAAAGTGACGTACAGGACAGAATAAAAAATTAAGTAATGATAATAAAACAAACAATAAAGGGAAACAATAATTATCTAAATTTAAACAGTGTTAAAGGCCAAAAAAATAAAATAAAATGTCTTTAAAGAAGATTTGAAGGAGGAAACAGATGGGGCTAATCTAATGTGGAGAGATAGACTGTTCCAAGGTTTAGGATCTCAGACTTCTAGAGGGAGTGAAGTAGATCAGTCAGGTACTGAGGGGCCAATTTGTTGAATGCTTTATAAACAAAAAATACAATTTTAAAATCAATTCTAAATTTGACAGGTAGCCAGTACAGTGTGGATAAAATAGGAGTGATCGACTCAAACTTTCGGGTCCCAGTGAGGAGTCGTTCTGCACTAGCCGTAGACAGGAGAGGGAAGACTAAGAGATACCAATATAAAGAGAGTCCCAATAATCTAAACGTGATGTAACAAAAGCATGGATCACTGTTTGGAAGTTACTCTTGGTTTAAAAAAAAGGTTTCACTTTAAAGAGTTGGCGAAGATGAAAAAGCATACCGATACTGATCTGTTTATCAAATTTTAGGTTATGATCGAATAGAAAGCCCAGATTTCTAGCGCATTTAATATGGTCATATATACCATGGTCAACATCAAAAACACAGTTTTCTTTGGGTCCAAATACAATTATTTCAGTTTTATTTTTGTATCAGTTTAGAAAATTACACAACAGCCAAAGCTTAAGTTCATTTAAACAAGCTATGAGGGATTGTAAACCATTTCTATGTTAACCATTACTGTAATAGTAAATATGTTTGGTTTTTTTCCAAAAACATTGATGTGTTATTAATAACTGGAATTTATTTTTTTGTTCTCGTATTATTTTCATCAACAATATGGTTTGATTAAAATAATTTCCTTATTGTCCATGCAGAGGTGATTCCATTATATCCATGGCACTTTGTTTCTTTATATGCAGCCCAATGTTACCCCAGTAACTTGTTTCCATTATTTAGGTATTTTATTTATTTTTTCGGCAATAGATTTTTGGGGTAATACTTTACAATAAGGTCTCATTTGATAATGCATTAACAAACATGCACTAACAGAGAGCAATAGCTTTTGTTAATACAATATTTGATTTAGCATATACAGTATATTATGTTTATTTAATTTAGATTTATCGGCCAATATATATCGTTTATCTGCTTTCAAATATAAAGACTTATTGGTATCGGCCAAATGTTCATATCAGTGCATCCCTAGAAAATAGGTTGAGAAAGAAAGGAATGTGTGTCAAATATGTGCCCGTGTTGCTGGGAATCAGTGGGGCAGCAGCCAAAAACAATCTCCATCAAAATGCAGACATCCTGTCAATGTCATTCTGCAGAAAAAAAGCAGTCAGAACCGAACAGAGCGAGCGAGAGAGATGTTATTGAGAGGATGACTAAGCATGCGTGGCTGCATGTCTGCATGTGTGTGATTATTTGGTGTGCAGGAATGTGTGAGTGCATACGATGTTGTGGTGAGGTGAGTGTGTGTGAAGGCCTGTAGCCTTCTGCTCTACTGCTGGTCCCCTGCCACTCCTCAGCATTGATTTAAACAAGCTGCTTCTGAGGGCTGAAAATTCACTGACCTGGAAAAGGGCAGAATGAGGGAGAGACATTCTGTATGAGGGTGAAGAATGGACAGGAAAGAAAGAGAAGCACAGGGCAGGAAGAATGGGTTGGAGAAGAAAGAAAGAAACATTTGCATCCAGCTACACCCCTTTAAAATCTTGAAGCCAACAAGATTTAAAGTCAACATGAAACTAAAATTGACCCCTCATATATTTCCTTAACTCGCAGTTCCAAGTTGTTTTACTCTAAAATATGCCATATTATACAACTGGATTGTAAATGCATTTGATGTTACTGAGATCAATTAATTAATTTACATTGTGAATGCTCTAAAGCCAGATGTATATATATGGAAATATGAATGGAAATATAATAGTTTATATTAATAATATTAAATGAATCAATGTCATTTACAACATGATTGTCTTTAAGCCAATATTAATATAATGCATTATAATATTTTTTTCTATTTTTTATTTTTTTTAGAAGACCCAGGTTTAAAAAAACACTGGTTAAGACAACATATTGTTGACAATGAATTGACAGTTTATTTTTTATTTTTTTAAGTTTTACACGTATTGAATGAGCTGACCCCCAGTGTCATTTATATTTGTTTCAAATATAGCATTTAATCCCAGTCTAAAACCTATAAAGCAAAAACACAATCAAGAATCTTCTTTTAACAATGACAGCCTGCACCTTTCATCCCACATTTTTCAGACTGATTTTAGTTAATTAAAACTCCTATCGTGCTCTCTGCTGCCTTGTTTCACGGCGAGTGTGAAAACTCAGTATGACAGAGTACAGTACAGGCTGCTCGTCTAGAGTGCAAGTTCTGTGTCCCTTGCTGCAATGAGGACAGGTTTCAAAGCTGTGCTGCGCAGGATGCATTATCATGCATCTGATGGTGGACCCGCAGTAAGTTCATTCCCCAAATTTCAGCATTTCCATCATGAAATCATTTAAAATAATAAAGGCAACGATATTCGTCTCATCACTGTAGCAGCCAAGTGGAAAATAACTTTGCATTTCAAATGGCTTTTTCATAAAGGAGACAGGCGGCTTCTCCTTTGTCAGATTAGTGCACTAGAACCTTCAGAATGGGAATGAAGGGAATGTGTGAACGCACGCACACACTCAATAACAGTAAGTGGAGACAGAAAGCACTCCGCTCAGTCTTAATGTGTGCATTACCTGCACCTATCGTTGCAAGACAAGCAATATTTGGCTACTAAATAAATACCCCCCTCTACTTGTGCTAACATACACAATCCTTCCTCCTGTTCAAGTAGGTCAGGGCTTGTGAGCCAAAAGGGTCAAGGCTGGAAGGAGAAAGAGCCAGATTATTCCCTGTAAAGTCATTGAAAGCTGGTGTGAGGCTACTGCAAAGCTGCAGATACAGCAAACACAAGCTGGTTTCGACAGGCCACTGACACGACTCCATTTCATATGTTATAGAGACTATGATTATAATAGACTCGTGGCTTACCATGAACATGGCTCTGAAGTTGCTGAGGTCAGTGAAGAGCTCCTCCACGGAAGTCTTCTTAGAGTCGATGGCGAAAAACTCCAGCATGTTGAGGTAAAGGGTCACCATATTCCTGTGCATGGTCATCAGCTTCTGGTACTGATCTCTCGCCTGCGTACAGAAACTGTGAGGAATCACCGTCAAGGACGTATACAAAACAGAATTGAAAAGTGAATGCCAAAACGTGTTGTCAACAAGATTTTCATTATAAGGAATAATACATTTTCTTCTTTCTTGTAATCCTTCGGTTAAATGAATAATTAAAAAAAAAAAAAAAAAAAAAAAACGTGGATCTTAGGAAACTAATTAACCCCCAAAACCAATGACCAAATGAAACAATCATCCTTCTACACTTTTGAACATAAATACACAAAAAAAGTTCAATACATCAACAGCAATTTATGTTTATTATTGAACTCTCATTTCAAAGCAAGGAAGTTCATCTTTTATTTTATTCTAAAGGTTACCATTTGGAAAGGATGTGAAATGCCAGAGCTTCAGCATAGTTTCTGCTAAGAATGAACCAAAATGAAAACAATTAACTTTTAATCCCTGATCGAATGACTACAAGCCTTTAATGCAACACTTGCTAAAGTTGTGGAGCCCACACATGCGAAAACCCAGACACATTTCGTATAAGAGCATATAAATAGTTCACGTTAAAGTCCAGTTCATTTTTATTATGGTTAAAACTGCTGCACAGAGCCAAGCGCTTTATCCATTACTGCTCTTTATCCAATTAAAACTGTGGTGGTGTGTACAGTAGGAGCCAATGCAAAACATGTTATTTATTGGGAAAGCATGTATACACAGAGGCATTTTATTCTTTAACACACATAATTATAGATGGCTAGAAAGTACTTGTAGAATGTCATTTAAACCAGTGTTTATGTTCCACATTTATTTGCAGCCCACATGCATTCATATCGAATGGAAGCATGTGGGCTGCAAATCTCTGCAAAGCCCATGTTTTTAAGGTGACCCTTATGCCAACACCAAACAACCAAAAATTCATTACGATCTTAGCAAGACTAGGAAAAAAAAAAAAAAAAAAAAATATATATATATATATATATATATATATATATATTTTTTTTACTTTTTAAAGGGGAGCAAAATTCC